AAAAAGATATTGATGCCGAAATTGAGATCAATAATATAATCTAAAATTCACACAATTTTAATTAATACAAAAAGTTTAATCTTTAAATAAATCATCTCTATTTAATTCATAGTTAATCTGTGATTAAAATTGAAGTAATAAAAATAAATTAATTAATTAAAACGTCACAAGAAAAACTTTGATAAGTTAAAAATTAATTCAAGAGACAAATTGATGAAAATGTTACAAGGAAAACTTTAATAAGTTAAAAATTGATTCAAGAAAAAAAAAATTAATGAGAACACCGCAAATTATCTTGATAAATAAACACTAATTTCATACTCAGTAAGAAGGTCAAATAAAATTTCATTAGTTGAAAAATTATAAAGCTTTGTATTTTATTAACTTCAAATTAGATTACTTAAATTTAATTCTTGAGGTCTATTTATAGTTGAATGTAAAGTAAAATACAAGAAAAGAAAATCTCATAATTAATTACAATTATTTTTTTAAAAAATAATAAATTATAAAATTAAGAAAATAATACTAACAAATATCGATATGGTTGTCTATCTTGAATTAAAGAATATTCTTTTTCATTGTTGTTGAGATATTGTCGTTTATGAAAAGATTATTAAATTTAATATAATATTCACTTACAATATGAGAAAATCTCTTGAGAATCTCTTAATTTAAAGAAAATATATTGAAAATCTCTTCATTTAAAGAATATCTCTTGAAGATATCTTAATTTTTAAAAAAAATATCTTGAAAATCTCTTAATTTAAAAAAAAAAATCTTTTAAAAATATTTTAATTTAAAGAAAATCTCTTAAAACTTTCTTGATTCATCTAGAAAGTGAATTGGTACATGATCTTATGGATACATCCATGATCTTATATATTTAATATACATCTTTTAAAAAGATATGATTGGATCCTGTTATATTATAAGACATTTTACTTGCTTATTTGCGGTGAAAACAAGGAAGGAAATATTTCTTAATGAGGGAAAAAAATTCCTCACAATTTTGAAAATTGTTCACATGCTTGTTTTGGCTACTTCCTTCATTTGGGATGAGGATGCATGGATACCTTTGCCCTTGGCCGAATGAGTTTATTTTTCTTTCCTTGTAGGCTTCCATACTTGGTTTAAGCCTTTCTTCCTCACTTATCCATCATTGGAAAAAAAAAAAAAAAAGGGAGATTTGTTTGCATATCTTGGCCCTCACTCTTATAAAACGCCCACTATACATCATGATGCTCCTTCCAAGTGGTATAAGGCCATCATTTATGATGTTCATGACTTGTTTCACTTTATTCCCTTCACATGGCCTTTGTTATGGGCGAATCCACTTTGTTCTTAGTTTGGACACC